CATAAGTTCTTTTACATAAGAATAGGACACAAAGCAATTACGCCCCTTCTATGAAACACTTCAGCATCTATCAACGTTAACATTTTTCTAATGTCTCGATAAGATATTCCTTACTTTTATCTGAGAAATCATCAACATTGCACCTTCTGCTCATGTTTCTACCATCTTTCTGTCTATAACTACTCAGGTAAGCTCTAAAAAATTTAAACCTATATATACATCTTTTTTCTTATGAAACTTTGTAAAAGTACCCTTTCTCTAATATTTACTATCAAATTTTCAGATACCCCTACTTTCCAGTCCCAAAGTCACTTCTACATTTTCAGATATTGTTAGAACATCATCTCTGTTTCTCATTACTAGCTTTCTATATTGTTCCATTTGGATTGCTTTAACAAAATACCATAAACTAGGTAGATGACAAAAAGCACATTTATTTGTAACAGTTCTGGTGCCTGAAAAGTCACAGTTCAAAATGCCAGCAGATTCACTGTCAATAAAGAGCCACAGTTCTGGTTCATGAACAGTGTATACTCAGAGTGTTTTTCCACAGTGAAAGTAACAAGGTAGCTTTTGGGATATCATTAATGAAAGTTGTAATCCTGTTTATAAGGGCCCTTCCTCAATGTTCTAATTACCTCCTAAAAGCTACTCTTCCCAGTATCACAGTGTTAATTGAACTTTTTACATATGAAGTTTGAGGGGAGCAAAAACCCATAGAAAAATCTCATAGAAAATCATATCAGTTTTGTTTCTCTCTTACATGGTTTATGAAATTTATATTATGTGGATGAACCTATCAGACCATTTCCCATATCTTTTCATCAGTGCTTTCTTCATTTTTCCACTATTATAGTATTTATGATGCTTCTTGAAGCTTTCATATTTTTACTTCTTTTAATTCACTTTTTTTCAGACAATGTCTCACTATGTAGTTTGGGCTGGGTTTGAATTCACTTTGTATCACAGCCTAGTCTCCAATTTGCTGCAATCCTCCTGCCTAAGCCTCCCAAGTTAACCAATGCGTAATGTCCTTCTTTGCCTCTTTTAACTACCTTTGGTTTAAATTCCTCCTCCTGAATTGGATTTTGGGAAATTGGGAGTATTTTGGAGGTATTTTATTGCTTTTTCTCTCCTTATGTTTCTATTTCTTTGTAGTTTTGTTTTGCTTTCTGTGCAGAAGTGCACAGCTTCTTTGGCTTAGTGCCTAGTTCTTCACGAATGAGCCACAGTAAGGTTTATGACATTCAAGTAATGCAGATATTGACAGAGAAACCGCAGTTGAAAACACCAACTATGGAGCTGGTGAGATGGCTCAGTGGTCTAAAGCACCTACTTAGAACAAGCTTAGCAAAGCACAGGGACTGTGGTTCAATCCCCCAGCACCACATGCCAGCCAGCCCTGCCCCCTGGTGGGCTTAGCTGGCCACACACACACACACACACACACACACACACACACACACATAAATAAGTAAATTAAAACACCAACTATGTCACCTTGGATACAGTAGTAAAGCCAGGGACAACAATGAAATAAAATATAAACTAAATGTTGACAAATCCTAAGAACCATACATGAACCATCCTTAACCAAAAGTCTATGATTTTAGTGGAGATGCTTAGGGAACCCAGACAATGATCTATAGTAAATTAGACCAGTACTTTCTGCAGGATGTAATCAATGGTGTAAACACTTAAGTAGACCACTGAACTAAATGTAATCTCCTTCTGATCCAACCCCTTCAAATGTTATACCCACCAAACCTGGCCTCCCACCACAGAATAAAGGCTCTGTAATCTTCTTGGCCTAACGTTGAGTTTCTCAGGGAATTTCAAGAAATCTCTGTTCACATCTCACCTTCTCCAATCCTATTGCTGAAGGCTGTCTCTCACTCAGTTTTTGAAGTGGAGTAAAACTTTGGTTGTGGAGGGAAACTCTCTTCTTGGGTGTTTGTCTAATCCGCAGTGAGGCCAATCTTGTGGCTGTGACCTCTGCCACTATGTGCTGAGGAGAACTGAAGTACAGAGGTACCTGGGATTTGGAAGCTTAGCCATGCTCCACATCTCCCACACAGGGCAGTAATTTTTCAGTGATGAGGCAGGGGTGGGGCAAAGCCAGTATTTTTTTCTCTCCCACAAGGCACATGAAGTGGTATGTGGTGGGGAGAGGAATGGGGATGGGGTCTCTTTGTTATAATTCTTGAATAGTCACCTTTCCATAATTTTCCATGAGGATAAGTTCCATTACCAAGTTATATTGATTTTATCCCTCTTCCTTCTTTCCTTCCTCCCTCCCTTCTTTCTTTCCTTCCTCTCTTCCAGTCTCATTTTCTCCATGTACTCCTCCCCTTACCTCCAGTCCTTTCCCTTTCTATCCCCTCTGCTTCATTCTTTTCCCTTCCCTTCCCTTCCAACCTCTTCTGTCAAGTCCCTGAATTGAACACAGGGTCTTTGCTCTGACCTCTGTCCCTAGCCCATTTTTAATTTTATTTTGAGAGAAGGTCTTGCTAAGTTGTTCTAGCTGGTGTGAAACTTTCTATCATCTTATATTCACTTCCTAGGATTCTGAGATTACAAGACTACACCATCATGCAAGCTTGTACTTTAAAATTGGATGTGTTGTATACATGCACCAACCCTTCATGATTAATGGAAGGAATCATTACTATTTTTAGACAAACACATAAAACTGGCAACTTTTTCTGTTCCCTCTCTCTTCTACCATTTTTAATATAAAATCATCTTTACTGTACACTGCCACAGTAGACTCCTAAGATGCTCCTCTAAAATACATTTACTATATTATTTTTCATGCAAATTTAAATGTGATCTTTCTGCTTGGAGTATTCCATTAGCATGCATCAATATTAATATATAGACTGAATATCTTAACAGGGTCCAAAATATGCTTCCACTTGCAGTTATCTTATTTCTTACTCTTGAGTATATCTAGCATTGCTCACCCTGTTGCCCCATATGCTTCAGTGTAGGCCTTCAATTATTCCCTTAAACATATTATAGAGTTCCACATATAAAAACATGGAATGCCCTTGTTTCTCTTTTCTTCAATATTTCTTATTTATTCTTTGCACCCCACCTTTCATATGAGCTCATCTGATGCTGCAGACTACATCTTACTCCCAATCATGTGCTCTGGGACTGCAGAGTAATGCATACATAATTTGTGAATATGCGGTTTTATTTCGGGTTGCACTAATTCCGACTTTGTGCTATAGAATGTGTAATCAAGGATGTCAAAGATAACACTTCTCTCTAAACCTAAAACAGTACCTGGAACTTTGTAAATTATAAATATCAACTAAATGAGTGAATTAGTGTATATATCACTTTACCTAATGATGTGAATTTTAGGATATCTTAAAAAAACTATTAATTTACTCCCAATAATTATAAGAGTTTGAGCCAGAACACTTCCAAAAGAATTCAATGTCAAGTGTTCCTTGTTCTGAAATTAAAACCTGTGAGTCTTTTACAATTCTTTCACACAAAATTTAGGATATTGGTAGAAACATATGTGTTAATAAAAACTGCCCCTGTTCTGTTTATATATGACCTGTAATTTTCCCTAAAGTGCAATTTTAGAACTTTTGTGATTTTTTTTTCTATTGATTTGAAATCCTTTCATGCACATGTGTCTTTGCTGCTCTTTGGTCTCACTCATTCAACAGAAACTGCAATAAGGCTCTGCAGATGTTTGTCCAAGGTTTGATATCAAGGACTCTATCCCTGTCCCTATTCACAAATATGTGTACTCTAAAAGATGTACCAGATGGTAGGTTGCAGAAAAGTAAAACATGTCATATGATGTATAATGCTAAAAGGGCCAAGATTTATCTCAGTGGCATGTGCCTGTCTTTTAAGTGTGAGATCTTGAGTTCAATTCCAGGTACCTCCCATTTTATTTCTAATCCTAAAAGGCAGAGTAAAGTCAATGGTAAGATTTTCCCAGGATTTGTCAACCTAGCTGTGTCAGGGCAAGATAAGGCCAAAACAATAAATCAGTTAATAAAACAAGTGAGCTCATTTGGGATTCATGGTTCTCATTAATGACATAAACAGTGTAAGCAAGAGGAAGCAAAGATAGCAGGTGTTTCCCTGTCCATTGTTCAGGGAAACATCAAATCAAAAGGGATGAGAAGGATACATCACTGAAGATAAAACACCCTATCTTTGAGAAGCACTAATCAGCTTCACAGCTTGAAACTGTGATAAAGAAAATGAGATAACAAACATCATACTTCTCCAGAACCCAGGAGGCAATAACAAACTGACAGGTCACAGCATCTTCAGGGAGATAGGAAAAAAAAGTGAGAAATGTTCCAGCAGCAGTTCATTATTAGACCCCATTCTCCATGTCATAGGTGGAACATCGGCCTTTTTGTCATGATTTATATTGGATGAAATTAAGCCATGCATGTATGACCTATGTGAAATCAAGCAGCTTCACAAAGGTGCCATGAGATAGTAATTTTCCTATAAATTGGTAAATGTAATCCTTTCTAAACACATAGACTTTTTGATGATTTCTCTTAAGAAACAAAAAACAAACATATTAGTACTTATGTACTATTACTTGGATTTGATCTTCAAATATTTTTCCATTATGGCTTTAGGTATTTTTTTAATTCTGTGATTTCCATTTTTTCCACTGTGACCAATATGAAGTGATATGACTCAGAGTTTGCCTAAACAGTTGGAAAATATGTATTATGAATTTCATACAAAAATACATGTGATATATATATATATATTATATATACTCACTATAAGAAAATCAAGTACTTTGTATCAAATGCATATGACTAGAGTTTGATTTAGATTTTACAGATTAGATTAAGATTTTGACATTTATTTTGTACAAGTACATTTCAGGATGTATGTACTGAAGACATTACCCATGAACTCCATAGTAAATCAATGCTTGTGTGTAGTCTTTTTTAGTAAAATGTTTCCACTTTTGTGTTTTTTTTAAATAGAAGTGAAGTTAATGTCACTGTGAAATTTACCAGTCGCTTTCTTCGTCCTGCTGAAGCGTCATTGCTATTAATTTCAAAACCCAAGCATGGAGTGAAAGACATTATAGTATCTTTTGCCCTTAAAGGGGAAGTCCTCAACATTAAAGCCATTGTGAGTGAATTTTACTTATTGTGTCTTTGCTTTTGTTCTTAAATCTTAGAGTGTCACACATATGGCCATTCTCCCACTTTTTATCTCTGAGATGCTCTTGATTCTTAAAGTCACAGTTTTGACATTGAGATTTGTGATTTAAATTAAAGCAGTCATGGTCCTGTGCATGTGTTTTTGTTTCAACTGGGGGTAAATAGTTTATTGAGAAAAGGAAAAGGAGTTTTTCCTTTCAACCAGGAACATTCATCAACTTATATGGAATGTTATGTGGAGTAAAACCATTGTAAAATTAATGCAAATGCTGGGGCTTACTAAAACTTGATGATGTTCCTGATAGAATCCTAAGTATAGCTCAAATGATGGGAAAGAATGATATTTAAAATTTTGTGAAATGTTTGAGACATTGTGACTGACTTTTTGTGTCCACTAGTGTAAATATTACTGTCAATATGGATATATGGACAAAAAACAATTGAAATTGCTACCAGGTTTCTGAAAAGATTCTAACACATTTTGGGTGAGAGAGGAAGAGAAAGTACAGAGAATGACTCTGAAATGCTCTTGTGGTGGCTGTATGTGTGAGGAACGCAGCAAGATATTAATAAATACAGACTAACACATTATAAAGTGATGCCTAAAGCAGAAATGGATGTTTGTCATTGAGATGTATATTATATTCCATTTTACTCCTGCATAATGAGCACATAACATTTGCCAACTCTTTCAAGTAAATTCTTTGAAGCAACAGATTTCTTAACCACATGCAACTAAAAGACATGGCTAGATTTAACCTGTCATTAGCATGACTTCGTAGCAGAAAAGCTGACACCTAGTTATTCAACATCTTTATTTACTTACACATTTATCCACTCGTGGTTCCATGTCACCTCAAAATAGATTAGAAAATGATGGAAAAATAAAATGAAGCCAAGAATACAATAAGTTTAGATGTAGAATTTCTAGAAATTTCTCTGGATATTTGCAAGTTTTTGTTTTGTATCTATACTTTTATTATATCACAAATATGTCAGTGCAATGAGTACATTACAGACATAGACAGACATGCCACACTCGTATATAAATTTGCAGACATTTATCCATGCATGAATACATACAAAAACCTGCCAGCAGCCTTATATCACACATATTAAGTTATATATATATATATACTTTTGTGAATATAAATTATATCAAGTCATTAATAAAATAAAATTGAGGATATCAGTTTGAGAGACATTATTTTGACAGGTAATTATTAGCAGAGCACTGTAGCTCAATAATGAGATAATATATATATATATATTTTTTTTTTCGGAACCGGGGATTGAAATCAGGCCCTTGCGTTTGTCGGGAAGCGCTTATTCCACTGAGCCATCTCCCTGGCCCCATTAGTTTTTATTCTTTCCTGTGCAGATTTTAGCAACTCAATGTTTTTTGGGAAAAGGGAATTTCACAAATTATTGTCAGTGTAATATTCAAATGAATGGTTTGTAGATTTTTAATTTTGTATTTTGTATTTATGAATTTTTTTGTTCACTAAAAAGTATGTTTTATTTTTTACTTCAGGAAATTGTTAAATGTGAATCTCCATGTTATCAATGGAAACAAGTCATTGTGCCTTTGAGAAACCCCTTCCAAACTGGTGGAAAGTTTAAGTAAGTTATTGTTTGGTTTAAATTTATTACAATTAGGAGCCAGGGAGATGGCTCAGTAGAATAAGAGCTTCCCTGGCAAGTGCAAGGGTCTGAGTTCAATCCCTGGTTCCACCAAAAAATAAAAAATAAAAATAAAACATAAATAAATAAATAAATTTATTACAATTAGGTGTTTCCACTCTAAAGACAAATATATATTTCTTCAACTCTTCAACAGGAACTATTTTGAGAAGAAACTACATGTGTTTACATTCCCCCAAATGTATAATCATCAGATAAAATAGGACACGTAATACTTCCAGTTGAGCATGTCAAAATTATTAGCATGTGTATAAGATTTTCTTGGGATTCAAAGTTTTGCAGCTTTTGTTTTTTTAATTGCTTATTTATTTTGTAATTTTAGGGAAGGGTCTACAGGGTGTCCAGGGTCTCACTACTAGATCAGACTCATTGTGATCCACCTGTTTATAGGCTCCCAAGAGCTGGGATTACAGGTGCACACCACCATGCCCAGTCTCAATTGCATTTCAGCATGCCCCAGAGGTGGGGCCGGCATGGCAGGCCTGGGGATGGAAGCCCTGGCCCCTGTGACACAGCTTTCAAATTTATAATTAATTGATTTCTCATTTCTAATTTATTACATCAGTTAATGTCCAGAACTAAAATTTTGTTTCAATACAAGTAACTTATTTACGTAGAGCATCATGATTAATTAATTTTGGTACATTAAATGTGTATCTATGTTTAGATTTAACAGCAATAATGATTCAAATTTGCATAGAAAAGAAAATGTTTATATTATTTAAAGAAAAGAAAAATTAATTCTTAAAATATTTACATATTGAAGAAGATGAAAGATGATTCCCTGTATATGAATTAAATTAGGAAATCTGTTTCTTTCAACTATAGAAATCAAAACTTTACAATATTCTTAGTTAGATGTATGTGCATGTGCTTAAAATGTAATCACTTTTAATTATTTTAATCATTATATTTAAAGTTACATATTAATTATGTACTTTTTGTAACAGAGGTTTTCATAATAGTGCCTTATATTCTCCTTTTAAATTTTTACAATGTAAAGTGTTCCTTTTTTATCTTTCACTTTAAAAATTTAATCATTCTTTTATTGATTAATCTTCATAAAGTATATCATGCCGCTTATCTTTTCAAACAAAACCTATTTCCTTGCTCCTGTCTATTCTGCTTTTTCATGCCTTTCACAACACTGGTTTTTGTCATAACTTGTTTCCTTCAGCTTTCTTTATCTTTAGCATTCTGTACTTTTTTTTAAGTAATACAAAAAAAGGTCCACGGAGATATCTCAGTAGAGTAAGCACTTGAAGATCCTGAGTTCAATCCCCAATATTGCAAATAAATAAATAAATAAACAAATATATAAATTAAATAATTCAAAAATATTTATTTTGTGGTTTTGGGACATATACAAAGCACATCTTTATCACTTTTATTTATGTTGACCTTAACCAACCTTCACCCTCCTCTCCTTCGCCTTATCCAGCATTCCTTCCCGTTTTCACAAGTTCTGATTTCACATTTCCTATCATCTCTTTTATTTTGACATTTAATTATACATAGTTTGAGTTTCTTAAATGAGAGAAACCACAAATTTTATTATTCTGTGTCTAATTTATTTGCCTTAGATTTAGAGTATCAAAATCTATCTATTTTCTTACAAATGACCTACCTTTATTCTTCTTTATGGCTGAGTAGCTCAAATTAATGCATACAAAGATTAGATAGATAGATAGATAGATAGATAGATAGATAGATAGATAGACAGAGAGACAGATAGATAGATAGTACATTTGTTTTATCTTGTATCTGTTGGTGTACATATGTGAATTATGATGCTATAAACAAGGGTGTGTGTGTATCCCTGAATTATGATTTGTGAAAATCTTTTGTGACAGAAAAGGGGTACATAGTTCAAATGAAATTTCAATTTTGACTTTCCTAAGTAATCTAATTTCCACAGTTATTTTCCTAGTTTACATTTCTACCAAAAATGTAAAATGTTTTCTTTTTCCATATTGCCTCACTAACATTTGTGACATTTTGGTTTCTTGAAGATAGTAATTCCTACTGGGGTGAAAGGGACTCTCATTGTCATTTTGCTTTGAATTTCTCTAATAGTCAAAGTTCCTGAGCATTTTTCATGTAGTTATTGGCCATTTGTGTTTCTTTCATATTTTTTATTCAGTTCAATTGTTAATTTTACATATTTTATGATTTTGAGGAAATCTTTTTTGAGTTCTTTATACATTCTGAATATTGGCCTTCTGTTCCAGAATCAGCTGGAAAAAATTAACACTCTGTAGATTTTTTCTTCACTTCTTTGCTTCCTTTTTCTTTCTCTCTTTTGTTTTGTTTTTGGCCAAAACGAGAATTGAACTCAATACACTTGCACTTGCCAGGGAAGCACTTATTCCACTGAGCCATCTCCCTGGCCCCATTAATTCCTTTGTTGTGAAGAAATTTTTAATTTAATATAATTCCATTTGTTGACTGTTGGTATTATTTACTATGTGATTGCATTTCCATTCAGAAAGTCTTGTTAATGCTTATACCTTCAAGAATTTTACCTATTTTGTTTTCTTTATATTTTTATTTTATTGAGAAAGAAATAGCAATGAGACAGTTTTAAAACTGATTAGTAGGACAGTTTCAATAATTAATACATTGCATATTGTTGTCTTCATAGTAGTTATTCAGAGTACAAGATGCAGACATGATATCTTCTCTAAACACTATTAGTACAAATCTTTCTTGTCATTGAACAAGAGAAAGTAGCTGCATATCTATCATATTTTGTATATACAGATATATTTTTTCACTAAAAATAGATCTTTTATATTCCCTTTTTTGTTTAGTTTTGTCAGAGATGGGTGTTCATTGTTATTCACATATTGTAAGTACATGAATTCAGCGTAATAATTCAATATAGTCCAGCAGTCACTAATACTAGTGTGGTATCTGCAGAACTGGCAATATCAGAAGTTGTAGATATGAGCCTTTTTCAGCTAAGCATATTAATGTGGCTTTACTTTTTATTCCTTGCTTTCATACTTTTCTGCTGGATGGTTAAGACCAAGATAAAGCAAAACCTATAAAACAAGAAATGTACCTATTGTATCTGACAAGGTCAGTCGAATCCCTTCAATATTTACTCTGAAACCTTATCCTATAATTTGTAGATCTTTTGTCAGTGTTAGCCATGTGGATGAGTCATGGCCATTGCTTGACCAATTTGCTCTCTGTGAAAGCCTGAGAGAATGTTTTCTTTCTAGGTGCTTCTCCTTAGGCACACTCTACATCTTTGATTACTTTCCTCTGTGACCTCATAATCTCCTTGAACAGAAAATTTGGGCCACCACTGAGTTACACAATATTACAGTACAAGTTCACTTATGTCCTGAGTCCTCACTGACCTTGAAGGGCTAGGGCCAAAATATTTGCTATCCTTGTAGCCCTTCTTTTTCTCTAATTTTTTGGTTTGCAAATTTAAGTTGTAACCCTCCAGAACAGAAGCTGCATGATATCATTACCCATGACATAAGCATTAGAACTTAATATCACGGTCTGTCTGAATATCAAATGTCTTAGACATAACATGGAACAGGTATTTTCCAACAATCACTGTTATGCTAAACTTTAAATTCCTATAGAATGCTAAAAAACTAAAAAATAAAAATCAATAATTACAGATTTTTGAACAATAATTTAGAAATCTAACCATATATGATATTGCAGGACAGTCCTATTTTTTTTTCTTATCTCTTGTTTTCATTTTTTACCCTTTATTTTTAAACAAACATTTACTTGAGAGACCACATGGAAGTAATTGGTATGTCATGACAAGCAGTACACATTTAAAAGACCAGAATGACAGGCATTCCAATCATGACCCTAGTATTACACATTGTTATCTTCAGTGCAGTTGCTTGGTTCACAGGTATCAGCATATACAGTTAGTCAGGGTGAGAATCCTGCCTATTAACTGCTAGTTTCAAAAACCTGATGGAGATTCTCAGGACCATTGTCTTACATTTTATATACACAAGATGGTTAAGGTAATGGTCCTGAGAAAATATTTTAAAAAGATTGTTTCTGATTTTATATCGAGATTCTTGATCCACATTTATTTTATAGCAAATTAAGACATATAAGCCTCAATCCATTTTTCACAGGGGTGACTGATATTTCCAGCACCATTTGTTGAAGAGGGTGTTTTGCTCCAGCATAATGTCCTTGGTCCTTTTGTCAAAAATAAGATTATTGATGGTGTATGGGTTATTTCTGCATCTTCATGATCCATTTCATTAAGATGTCAGTTTTTGTGACACTGTCAGAATGTTATTATTATTGTACCTTTGTTGTGTAGTTTGATAGACAGGATGATAATGCCTCCTGCTTTGTACCTGCTGCTCAAGATTGCTGTAACTATTCTAGGTATCTACTAGTGCCATATAAATTTGAGAATTTCTTTCTAGCTCCATAAAAAAATCTGCTGTTAGTATTTTCCTTGTGGCTGCAACAAGTCTATGCTCTTTTAGAGTAATTTTGTCATTTTGACAATATTGGTCTACCCTATGTAGGAAAAGAGGATGTGTTTCCATTTCCTAGGATCTTTTAAAAAGAGTTTTATGGGGTAATAGAATTGTTAACAGAATCCTTTAACTTCCTTAATTAGTTTAATTTCTAGACATTCAAGTTTTCTGAGGCAACCACAAATGTGTTTGTTTCCCTGACTTCTTTGTTAAGTAGATTCATTGATTTTGTACAGGAATGCTTTTGATTTTTGGTGTACTGATTTGATATCTGGCCACTTTGCTAATTTTGTTTATTAATGCTGTGTCTTCTGTTAGAATTTTTGTGGTCATGTCAAGAACAGGTAATTTGTGCTACTATAAACATGGGTGCACATATATTACTATGGTATCATGTTTTCAGTTCTTCTGGGAAAATACGCAACAGAG